TTACTTGTCGTTGGATGAATTCGAGCAATTAAATATTTAAGAAATGTAAGATGAAGGTCGACAGTAATTTCCTAGAGACCTTGAAATGTTAATTTTAATCTTCAATGAAGCTGCCTCCAAAGCGGTGCTTCTATTTACACAAAATGTCAGCATTTAAATTGACGCGCCGTTTAAAATATTAAATCCGTTTTTTTAAAGTTAAACGACTGGCTCGTTCTGCGGGCTCATTGTTTACAAAATGTTGTGCTCCAGCCACAAAGGTCGATCCGTTTGAGATTCTGCTTTGAATGTTAACTTCTGTGCACTTGATATTTGATCAGAGCTCCATTTATAACGGCCTCTTCTGTAGTTGGACCGATTTCTCTCAAAGGGTTTGAAGTTTCGATAGAAATAATAAGAATAGGGTCTTATAAAAGTGTTTTATAAAGTATTGGTTGCGGTCGTTTCATTGATTCAGGCGATCAGTCTGTGTGACGTTCAGGTGAGCGCAAGGAGTTACCGGGACATTACGGGCGCCGGGAGCTTGAATATTAAAGGAGAGGCGGACTGTGGAGGAAGCTTTGTACAAGATGTATATTAATAATGAACACTCATAAAACTGAACGGAAAATATTGTCTGTGTCGCTTATGGAAACTCTTCTGGGTGAAAATAATTGAATTTCCTTCGGACGGAGTTTATTAAAGTAAAACTCTGCAAGTCTAGAGTGCTCTGTAATACGCGAGGGTTTTTTTGTTCTGTTCCATCATCGTTCGTTTCCGTTCTAACTGAGTAATAACTGATTTTTTTGTGTTATTGTGGAACTCGATCCGACAACACCGGGTGAACGCGGTTTACTTCACAACCAGAACTTTGTTAGAAGCGGAGAAAAATATATGGCGGGCGGTGAATTGAAAATAACTGCTTCATACCCGTGTTAGAAGTTTCCTTTACCGAGTTTTAATAATTATGTTGTTAACATTAAAACAACGGGAGCTAATAAATGAATTAAAATTCACAGAGAATATGTGAGGTGGAAAATGGACTGTGCAGGCTCGTAGCTCGCTCGTGCTCATGACATTTTCGTACAAATTTTCTCTTTGAATTTTGTTTTATTTACCGATATCTCTTATAAAATTTTGCATATTCTTTAAAATGTTCATTGTTTTTTTAAGTATCAGGAGTAAGTATAACCAAAGGTCATTACGTCCCGTGTGTTTTATTATATATTTAATGAAATATCTACACTGAAGATTCTACAGTGTGTCGTGTGTCTATACACGTATTCTATACAGAGTCCAGTACAATACAAGAGCGATATAATCTCTTATTTCATCTGATGTCTGATATGACACACAGAACAAATATACTAAGATCAAAAGACAAATAACGCCCGCGCTTTGTGTTCAAACAGTTACCATAATATATTTATATGTATAGTGACACACCGACCGACAGATTGTGGAGAAATATTAAATATATATTTGTATTATTTTAATTGAACTATTTAAAAATAAAACATTTTTCTTCATAAGTTAACCATAACTTTAAAGCATGTGAGATAATGTTGACTTTAAATGTTTAGGTACAAAAAAATATGTTGTTACGACAGTACATTAACATTTAAAATGATATTGGTCATTTATATAACAATAAGAAATATATATTTAATAAAACCTATCCTGCCTTTACTAACAATGTTAACAAGTTAATTTTCTCGCTACGTTCATTGTTTCGAGTGAATATATTAAACAATTAGTGAGGGCTAGTGGAGGCCCGGTGGAGGCCCGGTGGAGGGTCGCAAGTGGATTACGATGCGGTGGAGCGACCTCAGTCCGTACTTAACCACTTTCAGCCGGTTAGGACCGGTGTTCGCCGGCTACAGCCGCCTACGAGCGGTTCATACCCGAATGTCGGCGTTCCGCTTTGTCGCGGTTTAAAATGCCTCACGCAGAGGATTAGGGGATTCGTTCTGTGCGCTTTACATAATGACGATGCTTGCTTTACACTGTGCATTATGACATTAGTTTCCTTGTGGCTATAGACGTTACATTTCTGTTTTCGAATTTAGTTTCTAAATATACGAAGGCTGTAAACATCGAGTGTGTTTTCATTTCTAAGGCTAACAGTAGTATAAAGCCTGTGACCCAGTATTTACATAACTGAATTGAACATGGCGGGTGTCTGCGACGTCTCTCCGGTTCCGGGAAATCCCGGATATTGAATATCCGTAGAGTTCTATCCATAAAGTCAATAATATTGAGACGTAAGACGCTATTCACACTAGAAGTTTCTTCGACAGCGGAGAGATCGCGACGCTGTATTGAATAATACACAGCAACTCGACTACTATATTAATGTATCGACGCTTTAGAAGTGTCACAACCAAAACCTCCAAGTTAAATGTATCGTAAACTTAGGTTAAAATCATACGTATCTCACAAGTACTGTGTCTGAACATCTGGTATAAACTACATATAAAGTAGTTTCCACTAAAAGCCTATGTTCGTTTTTATTGTTTTCGTGTTTGGCTCGTTATGAATGTATGTAAACAATAGTCGGATGCCAAATTTTAAAATCACAACACAAAGTTATTTACTATGGAGGTAATTTAGAGTTGGCAGACACACAAAGAGTACTCGTTCATTTATATATTATTGATAAGTATTTGTTGAATGTATTTAGTGAGTGTATCATATAATACATATGAACCGTGAGAGGTCCCGCGTCAGGGAATGTCGGGGATACATTATTATTACATTAAGGAGAGACGAGTTGGCGATTGTTTTTCATAAAGTACTCTTGATCCGATTATTGGAAAAAGTTATTTCGACTTTTTCTCGATTTGTGTGATTTCTTTTTATGTCACAAATAAAAATAATAATTATATTAACATCGTTAAGGACTTAGTGATTTGTTCTATAATGATTTCAATATTGTCTGATGATAGAAGACGTCTATAGTAATCAGTTGAGTTCCATACATCATGATGACGTGTCCCATCAATTTGTGTTATATTTTCCTTTCTTAGACAAAAACAGTTTAGTTCAAAATTACAAAAAGTGTAACAATGAAAGAAAAAAAGATAAAACGAGTGAAATAAACCCTGTGTTTTATTGTTATAGTCGTAGCCGTAACCTTTGAACCCCTTAATACAATATACACTCTCACCGTAATGGGCCAGCGCTGACTCAGATAACGCCAGGCCTCATACACCCGCTGTATAAACATCTCTGTGAAAGTAACGGCAACACGTTTTATCAATTTACCATTGAAACGGGTTCCTGATAAACATTGTTCCTTACTCCAAGACGACTCCATACTGGGTCACTGGAGTGTCACTGAGTGTTTGTCTTTTCATTATCTGTCAGCGGTCGGTCGAAGGACACAGATTCAAGATAAATAAAATCTATATCATCTTTACTTCTAACTGGGTTTGAGTCTTCAAACAGCGATCGATTGATGGATTCATTTAAATACTTTTTTTATATTTAAATTAGTACTGTTTGGTTACATGAGAAGTATTTAGCGTTATATGCAATGCTTTTTTTGTGAACCAGTCCTACATACTCAACAAAAATCTATTTGCTAAGTATTTAATCTGCCAGTGCCGAGGTTTCATCCCAACGATGCCATAACCCGATTAGGATAGACTAACTGAAATGTCCGTTTTAAATATAAAATGTTTCAGCGAATCTCTAAAAAATAGTTGTATTTTTATTTTAATTCTATTTCATTAATATAAGCCGGCTTTTCCGCCGCTCAAAAGTCAGATTAAACACATAGATTAAAGATTTCCCTCTGAAATGTTTGAACAATATGCAAAGCAGCGTCGGCGGGATGTGGGAAGAGCCATTATATGTATATGTATTAAGGGATCAGGTGAGCCGCTTTGTTTAACGATTTGTTTGTTTTTAACATTCACGGGAATGAAGCCATCGTTTAGGATTCAAAGTCTAGATAGGGTGTGAAGTCTAAACATAAAGAGGCGATAGTCATTGCAGTGCGTCTATTGATCGAGACATTGCGCAAACTTGCAACGCTGCAGTCGCAATAAATAAATATTCACACACAATAATATACATTAAACAAGCGGGTGGTTACAATATACACGGCTGGCTCACTATATATATTATAAAGAATCATTCTGAGAACTTTGAATATCTGTGAGTGAACGAGAAGCTAAGAATGAATCTAAGAACGAGAAGTTTGATAATAGAAAATCAATAATAGTTTTGTTACTTTTAAATTGAACATTTTAAATTTCATCACAAATTACATGAGTTTTATTCAACATTTGATTATTTTAAATAATACAAAACATAACGTTATTATATTTATCAGTTTTAATGAAATCGATAATAGTGTTAATTACAACTAGCAGCCAGCAGCTTATCGTACGTCCAGCTAGCTGTGTTTCAAATAATATCGTCGCTCATTATCACGGGCGATCAATTCATTATAGCTAGTGTTGTCGCTGGTTGTTATCGACACTCGATAATGTTTATGTATAAAGCCTTCCTCCAATGCCAATGTGTTTCAGAACATGTATTAAGTTCTGTGAACTCGGTCGCCTCGTCTTTAATGTAAGTGATCTCTTGTTTTTTGCGTTCATTGACGTTTCTTTATCTTTGAGTGGACAGATATAATGTTTGTGTCATGCGAGAATCAACTTATTTTGTATATATGTAGTACCTACTATCTACCTTCAAAGTTCGCGTTATGTTGACCCAGGGCCATTTCATACGAGCGTATCGTTTGAATTGTAAAGTCCTTACAAGTTAATACTATAGTCTTATAGGACCCGATCATTATATTTTGTAAGCGTATATTTTAGTAATATTATTTAATAATTATTTCGCTTTTAATATTTTTTATGTACAGCCCCATATTAATTGTATTTATGAAGGGTATTTTCGTAAGCGACAACAATTTTTTAATTCGTAAGCGACAGCAATTTTTTCAGCTAATGTATGTTTTATCGAAACGATTATAAATGTACTAAATGTATGATCCTTTACAGGTAAGGGTGAATCCGGTCTGTGGGGTCCTGGGGTCCTGGGGCACCCTGGGGGTGGCTGGGGGCGGCCAGTCCTTTTTAAGTGCCGGTATGTACTTTAAAAATATAAACGGCTTTTAGGCAGCTTTTAGCATACGAATGAGTAAATGATGTTCATTAATCGTCGTGTACAAGCGTTTTCCAATAGAGATCACATCATAAATATATATTAACTAGCTTTCCGCCCGCAGCTTCGCCGCGTGGAGTTCGGTTATATCGCGTTTCCAAGAGAACCTTTCAAAAGTCTGGGATAAAAACTATCCTATGTTCTTTCTCAAGGTCAACTCTATCTCTGTACCGAATTTCATTAAAATCAGTTCAGTGGTTTAGGCGTGAAAGCGTAGCAGACAGACAGACAGACAGACAGACAGAGTTACTTTCGCATTTATAATATTAGTAGGGATAAGCTGACCGTTTGTTTGTAGAGACAGCCAGGTCGTCTTTCAGTTGAGGTAATTCTATTAAGCAGAGATTATGAGTGAGTGTTGTTGTGGAGCGGCCGGTGAAGAGTCTCGTTAAGTAAATTGATAAGGTCTATTAGTATTCACCGGCGATGATGATTTATTGAGACTCAGCCGGCCCGGGGGAGACTCGCGGGGGATATACTTTTATAAATTCACTTAATGATGTCAGCTAAATTAAAAATGATTTCGTTAATAAATACTACGTCTTGAAGATGTATTAAACGTCGCTAGCTGTGGTATAAATCAATTTTTATGTATGTAAAATTTATTCGAGGTACATTATTATTAGGTAACGATCCAAACAGTAATTTTCTAGTGCGATTGTAATAAAGATATGTTGATACAACTGTTATTATTACTGTGTGAAGACAAAATTAAAGTTACGCTTGTATGAAACCATGATGAAAGATGGTTTTGTTTAAAGCAGCAGACATTTATGTCATAAATTCGATTCAAGGACTGAAAATTACGATTCCAAACTCACCAATTGAAACATGTTAATAATTATGGAAAATCAACTTAAAATTTTAATATACGTGTTATAGTGGAATATTTAAATAATTATAATAATTTCAATTTATAAACCGAGACAATATTTTATTTTATTATCTTATCGAAGTTCTTATACGAATCAGCGAAAATATAAATACATATTTAGAAGTGCGAGCAGTCGTCTTCGACATATAAGCCTTAGTTGATTTGACGAGATGTTTTAGCTTCCCCCTTTCTTTTCGAATAGTTGTAATGCAACATGTGATAGATGGAAGGAACATTTCGATAAATATTTCACTTTAAAAATTATTCAAACGCATTAGTATAAAAGCAATTTATAATAGTCCCGGAATTACAAAGACTAGGTATATGGAGGTAATGGGAATGTGGTCAGTCGGCCATGGGGCGGAGATGACGTCATCACGGTCAACCGCACGCGGGAACTAAAAATATGTGTGTGTGTGTACACGCACGTGGTGGAGGGGATGTGACGTCATAATAATAGTAATTATAATGTGGTATATATATATATAAATGTGTAGTAAAGGTCGCCGGTTCTGATCGCCAAGTGCTAAAGATCATTAATAATTCATGTAATAAATTTGTTTCAAATAATAATTATAATTCATTTCACGTAAACTAATAATAAGTTTATTCATTAATTATCTGTTATCAGGTTCATTAAAACTTTTTCCTCTTTTAACTTTATAAAATGTTACAACTGAAGTCTTATGTTTTATTCATTAAGTTAATTACTAATAAATTAGTAATATATTTTCTACTCGCTGCATTATATTGTAAATTATTCGTGGTATTCCAAACTATTTCTCCGAGTTGAAGCTCTGTATCTATAAAGCTCTACCGTCATAAGGTTCATTTGAAATTGGTTCAAACTTGTGTTTATACATAAGTTTTAAGAGTAGTTTTATTAAGTTATAAAAGTGTTGTTTTGTTAAGCTTCACCATTTCGCACCTCGTCCGCGAGAGTGGTCCATGGTACATAGACATATATTGTACTCACATCTCACGTAAAACAACAATGCTCATACAATTTATAATTTCTATAATCCTTTATGAGTGTCTGAATGACACCATTACATTCGTTATTTAATCCCATGTAATGTTTTAGTAATCTTTTAACGTGTATATCTTCTGTACATATCGTCACAAGTGGCCGCATCATCTCTGTACATGAGTGTTGTTGGTGGACAGTTTCCAAAGTATTGTGTACGTGTGTGTCACATGTTTCATGGTTCAAGGAGACGAGCTGTGACGAGGGTTGTCACAGGATGCTTCTCACGTTACAATCATACGCACAAGTTTTTCGTTTCTTCCTCTGAATAGCATAAAAAATAGGACGATTAGTTTGTTTATTATATTATAAACAGAATATAATATAAGAAATATATAAAATTATATAAGAAAATTCTAAAACACATTTCTAGTAAGAATTTTCTTTCAGAGTACATAATGAACGTTTTTACCTTTCATTATTATCGGAATCTCTTTTATGTAGTATGTAGAGCAGGCAGCAGGCCAGTTGTAAAGGTAACATCATTATCACAAATATTGAGTCGATCTCATCTCACCTGGCGGCCGACACGCTCCCTCTTTTCTTTGTAATATTTCACAAATTTTCTCTACAAATTGTTAATATTACTTAAACGAAACATTCGTAACACGATTGTACGTGAACGTCACTCATATATTTTTCCTCATTTATGTTCTCTTGAGTGAAGTGTATCTCGTATTAAATATATAGAAGGGAAAGTATTTTAGGAATGAATTGTTATGTAGTGAGATGTTGATTGTCCAACTAATTAATTATTATAAAGTGAGCGTTGTAATTTATAGTTTTTCGAATCTTTCTTTTAGTAACCTCGAAGGTGGCTACATTATATCTCATAGAAGTCTTTGAAGACATTCTTTCTCTCTGTATTGTGAGGTGAAGCTGAAAATTCAAAGTAATCATTGTTTATATTAAGGAGGTCACAGTTTATTTCCTCTCCCATAGTTCCCGTTCCGAAGTCAGCCGGCGTTTGTTTAAACTCCTGTTATTAGTTCTCCAAAGTTCCGAGCCGCCTCGCTCATATATTCTGCGGCGAGGAATATTCTTTTTGCTTCGTTTATTTTATGAAACTGTGAAAAAGGTCGCCGCTAACTGAACGTCTCATAAATATAACGAAGCTTCCGCCCCGCCTGTAATCAGTTGGAGGGGATTCTCTCGCAGTTTCTTCTAAATAAGCTAAGCGCCATAACGTTATACTTTCGCTTCGAGATGAATTGTTAAAATTTGACTAAATTACAGTCTGTGGGAATAAAAAGCGAAATAATACACACAGGCTCGGGAACAGTGATGTAAGACCCTTATATACATACAGATAAACATATATAAAGAAGCCAAGATTTGATGTATTACTCGATATCCTATGACGTCTTTATCAGCAGACGTGTTACTCGCTAAATAATGATGTTATTTTATACTTCTCTAAGTAATGCAAGCGGGGAGTCAACTAGCATCTTAGACAGATTTTAGACAGTATCCAGCTTATAACAAAATAATGTCACGATAAATGGATAATAGTTGTACATTATGTATCAAATATATTAAGAAAACTTGTATAATAAATATAATTGTAATTCGGTCATTCAATACATAATGCGACTTAATAGTGTGGTCAGTGTAAGCTTTGTAATAGTCGGAAGGATTTCCACCGTCGCGGTCGGCAGATATGAAGCTGTCAATCGTAAAGTGAGGGTCCATCAGGCTGATGGATGACCGAGAACACTGTTCTCATACTCGTGTGAACGAGAGGTGGAATGAGAAGTTGTTTAATATATAAATGTATAGAGGGATGGTGTGATGGTGTGAGTCAGCTATTATTACTCATCACGTTGGTGTAATGTATGTGTGTCTGGAGTGTACGCGTGCTGCTCCATAAACAACCGCATCTAGCGACTTACCGTAAAGGGATACACAGCTGGCACGACCTGATAGCGACTCTCCCGATATCTCCCTCGGGAGGATCGACAGCGACTTATGTACCGTCCTTTAGCTAATTTCTCGTATGAACCGACAGTTTTTTTTGGGACGCTGACAACATTCGTGATTCGGGTGAGATTATTTAAATATTCTCCTCGATATAACCCGTGAAATTACCCGTGAAATATATGTAAAAAACTTGCCAACGACGTATAATATAACCCGGCGCTTTACAAATTTGAGTGCTGCATAATGTACGAGCTCGGGTAGGGAGTGTTCACATCATAACACACAGAGCGGATGTTTGTTTGTTGGGGTCTGAAGGATAGAAATAAGAGACGTGTAAAACACTAGGACAAACTAGTGTATATAATCTCTGAAGACTCACAAGTCGTTCATTCTATAATAGATTTTCTTCTGATTTGTTCGTACAGACTCAGTTTGATTTGTTCCACGATCTGAGTTATCTGAAAACGTATTCTATATCACTATGAAAAATATTGTATCGGAAACGTGTTTATTGTTAGAGGCGACTCATTACACGGCTCGCTGACACAGCTCCGCGGAGACTTGTACTCAGACAACTCACATTATATTTAATATCATTGATTTTTTTTTCATTTATTGAGGCGGTTCATCATTTCTTCGTATTTTTCTTATGAATTTCTATCCGAGTGTTTTATTTAGAGCACAATTCCATGTCATACAATAGTATCATCACGTTTGGGTCGAACATTAACACGCTCGTGTCTTTTTGTATCTTCGAGATGAGAGTATGAATAGAGGAATGTCAGTGTCGTAACTCCGCGTCTCGATGCCAGTGTTTTTAAAGTTTTTGTTTTAAAATACACGTATTTTCGTATATTTTCTTTGTTTATATTATCTTTTGAATGCGGCATTGAACCGCAGTGGATGGGTTAATTAGATGAATGTGAATGAGACTTTATATACATCCCATGTATAAAATGTTTTCAAATCCGTTCCATGTATATATTGTTGTAGTAACATCATTATCTCCTCCGCGTCCCGTCTCGTACATGTAACAATAGTAAATCATTCAAATCTAATTTCCAGTCTCAATTGTTTTATTCGTGGTCGTGTCGCAGGATC